GGGAGTGGCATGCATGCAGAAAGGGGAGGGAGGGTGGGATTGGGAGGGGAGGAGGGAGGGGCTTATGGGGGGGGTACAAAATAAATAAAGTGTAATTAATAAAAAATTAAAAAAAAAACTAGTAGTTTTTAAAAATAATTTAAAAGCCAGGCATGGTGGTTCATGCCTATAATCCCAGCACTTAGGGAGGCAGAGGCAGGCAGGTCTCTGTGAGTTTGAAGCCAGCCGGGTCTACAAAGTGAGTCTATGACACCAAGGCTACACAGAGAAACTCTGTCTTGAAAAACATAATAATTTTAAAACTCACCATAGAGCTAAATGACAATTTTAAGTGTGGTATAATTTAACTAAATTTAGTTTACAGTCTCATGTAATATTTAGTAGATAGTCTCAGATAATATTAACCGTCTACTTCTGTACTTACAGAAATTTCTGTTCTTAACATTTTAAATCACTGTAAAACTCAAAGTAAAAAAAAGAACATCTACTGTATAATTTGATTTTTTTTTTTTTTTTTTTTTGAGACAGGGTTTTCTGTGTACGTAGCCCTGGCTGTTTTGGATTTTGTGTATAACCAGGCTGGCCTCGAACTCAGAGATCCGGCTGCCTCTGCCTCCCTGAGTGCTGGGATTAAAGGCTTGTGCCACCACCGATGGCTTGAGTTTTTTATGTTTTTTGTGGTTAAAGTGATCATTAGTTAAGGTGATCCAGTACTAAACTGTATGCTTATATATATCTTCTTAGCTAATATTAAAAATGTGGCAGTTACCAGTGGTTGAGTTTATAGGTGAGCAGAGATGTGTGTTTCAGGCTTCCTGCGCCTAGTGTCTTCTCTAGAACATTCTGGTTGTCTCAGGGCTCCCGAGAGCCAGCACTCTGCACTAGCTGCACCACATCTCATGATCACACAAGGTTTGTACATTCCTACTTGTTGGTTACTTTTCTTGGTGAGACAAAACTTCACTTAGCCCTGTCTGGCTGTCCTCAGTTCACTATGTAGCCCAGGCTGGCCTTGAACTCTTTATTCTTTTGCTTCTACCTCTTGAATACTGAGATCACAGGGTTGCACCAGCACTCTGTGCAGCACATGCAGCACATAGTAACAGGGTTTTTTTTTGTTTTGTTTTTGTTGTTGTTATTGTTTTGAGATCTGGTCTAGCCATGTAGCCCTGGCGATCCTGGAGCTCACCTCTGCATGCTGAGCAGTGGGATGAAAGGCGTGTGTCATCCCCACTTCAGGCCTCACAAATATGATGTCAGTCACTTCTCTTCACTGTCCTGTAAGAGTAGGAAACACATGCTCAGTGTCTTTGATGGCACATTTATTCATCTGTTCCGTTATTAAAAATACTTAAGTTGAATGCCTACTGTGTGCCCTAGAGGGCATAAAGGAGACAAAGACAGCCTCTCTCCAGACCCTGATGGCCACTCTAGCTGCTGGACACATGCGGAACAGAGCAGACCCTCTGGTCAGTGTGCTTTCCTGTACCATGCTGTCTTTATTTTTTATTTAGTGGCCTGAATCAAGAAGGTGGAATTTTTTTACTGCAATTTCTGGAAGGCTCCTACTGAAGGACGGACAGGAGGATGGAAATGAGCTTTGAAGCATCGTTATGTGGTCCCGCTGCAGCAATGTCTGCTGGGCACTGTGCTAGTGGCTGCCTGGGGCAGAAGTGGTGAATGTCACTGTTCACTCTGGTCACCAGTCACCTGCAGGAAGGACAGATAGCAGTTAGCCTTTGCCCTGAGGTGGGGTGAGGGGACCCTGTGGATCCATTTAGCCCAGCACTCCCTCTGCAGTGAGCACACCTGACTGACCTTCCCTCAGCAAGACCAGGTTCTTAGGTGTGTCTTGCTAGAATCTGGGTCTTTCTATTCTCACCAGGAAGAGAGGAGCTTTCCAGACCCTGTGTGCCAGAGAGACTGCAACTCGCTGTCTGTTTTATATGTGTATTCAGAATCAGAATCCTAAGGGCAGCCCGCAGTGATGAGCATTTGGGCAAAGGCAAGAGAAACAGCCCCGAAAGTAAATACAGGGGAGTGTGTGGTGGTGGGAACTGTTTGGCTGTGTTCTATATAATGGCTCCTAGCAGGAGCACACCACTGGGCTGCTCTCGCTGGGTGCTTCCTTCAGGAACAGAAGCACTGACAGATGCAGACAGGTGCCCAGGGGTGCCGAGCTTCAGGTTCCAACCCTGCCTCTGAGCTCTGGCTGTTCACTTCTCATTCTGCTGCTCTGTTCTGCCTTGGGCAGGTACTCTTGGAAAACCCGAAGGCCGCTCTACCTCTCCCACGTGGACAAGTCAGTCGCGTATAAGAGACGAGGTGAGTCTGATGGTTCTGTTGCAGGGCCAGGTGGCAGCACAGTTGGGAGAACCTCGCTTCTCCACATGCCACACTCTCCACTTGATGGGGGTGCTGCCGTGTATGGAACCTTCCAAAGGAGAAATCACACAGAAATCCATATTCTGGGACCTTGCTGTTTTTCATAGCAGAGCTCCAGTTCCCAGCAAACCTGAGACTCTCTGTTCTGTGACTGTGAGAGCTGTCAGGAGACTTGCACTGAGATTGTCCATGCTCTCTCTTTAAATCAATGTTCAGTAACTTCCTGAGGCCTAGTCTCACCTAATGCTACATGTTACAGCAGCTATGAATCTAGGTGGGTGTGAGTGTGCACACAGGAGACTGAGGGAGGAGGCTCCAGAGTTTGAGGCCTGATTGCTCACTTCCACCCCTTAAGGCTAAGAAACCAGCAGCCCATTCCTTTAGACTCCACGTTTTACTTGTGAATTGACATTTGCCTCTTCCCTCCATCTCCAGAAATGGTGGAAAATCTTCAAAAGCAATTTAGTGCCCTTATTGGTTCAACACCCATGGTTGAAAAGAAGGGCCCTTCGAGTTTTCAGTTCAACTGGACCGAAGAAGACACCGATAGCCCTTGTTTCCATGGACATAGCCTCCAGGGACTCCTGATAACAAAAGGCCAGTCCTTGATAACCAAGAACTCACTGTATTGGCTCAGTACCCAGAAGTTCTGCAAAAGGTATGCATGTTTTTAAAACTCCAGAAGCAAGAGGCATGCTGAAATCTATAGCTCAGCCTTTCTCTTCTTTTTTGAGGTTATAATATAATTACACCATTTCCCACCTCCCTTTCTTCCCTCCAAACCTTTCCATATACTCCTTCTTTCACTCTTTCAAATTCACTGTCTTGCCTTTTTCCATTAATTGTTGTTACATACATTGTTACATGTATGTGTATATATACAACAATGTATACACACAGAGATAGATATATGTACTTAAATACACCCTGCTCAGTCTGTATAATATTATTTGTATGTATGTGTTCAGGGCTGACCACTTGCTGGTGGACAACTAATTGGTGTGCTTTTTCCTGAGGAAGACTACTCTACCCCTCAATCTTGGCATTCCTAGTTGCCTTTAGTTCTCTGTGTAAGGCTGAGGTCTCTTCCCCATCTGCTTTGATATGTCTGTTGTCATTCTGTTTGGGTTTAGGCAGCCATATTTGTGAGATGTCATGTGTGTGGCTTCTGATGTTAGGAGACGCAGTCTCACAGCAGAGTCCTATCGCCTGCCTTGTAGTCTCTTCGCCCCTCCTCTGCTGTGTATACTGAGTCTCAGACGCAGAAGTGCTTTGGTGATGTGTCCTTTAGGACTGGACTCCACACCTCTGTGTTTTGATTGGTTGTGATTTTCTGTAAGCCTGCATCTGTTACAAAAAGAAGTTTCCTTGGTGAGGATGAGGACTTACCTGTGGACCCAAGGACAGGCATTTAAAGCATAATTAGGAATTATGCTTGTTTAATGAAGCAGTGACTCAGAATTTCGTTCTTTAAAATACAAACTCAGGGCTAGAGAGCTAGCTGAGAGGTTAAGAGCACCTGTTGTTCTTTCAAAGGACCCAGGCTCTGTTCAGCATCCACATGGTGGCTCACAAACACCTGTATCTCCAGTCCTAGGGGATCCCAGGCCCTCTTCTGATCTCCAAGGGTACTAGGTATACATGCAATACACATACATAAATGAATGCAAAGCGCTTATAAAATAAATCTGAAATAATAAAGTATTTGTATTAGCCCCTCAGGGAGTTAGGGCCACACATATTACATGGATCACGCTGCTCCAAGCAGCGTGTTTAAACCTGACTGTGGGCCAGATCAGCATTTCAGAAGTAGACATGGATACAGTATGAAGAGTTTTCATATAGTTAAGGAGCTTCAGCAGATTTCCCAAGTTTCCCTCTAACTCCTGGTGCTGTGTGGAGGCTAACTATCTACTGGGGAAGGGATTTGGGGGTAGACAATGGATGGGTGCCAGAGCTTCTAAATTACTGCTTAAGGATAACCTACCTTTCTCCTTCCCATTCTAGCTATTGTAAACATGTGACAACCTATGAAGAATCAAATTTTTCTCTGAGTTATCAGTTTATATTAAACAGTTTCTCCTTCTTACTGAGGATAAAGACCTCTACTCTCCATGAAGAAGTGAGCTTACTTGAAAAGAAACTTTTTGAAAAAAAATACAGTGAATCAAAAAAGAGCTCAGGATCCAAGAAAGTAAGAAGACACTAAGAAGGCAAAGAGACTTCCCCTGAAGGTGCTCTATAGCATAACGGCAGGTCTTAGTGCCATGCTCCAGGGAACTGTGTGAAGTACATTATTGTACGTGCATACATATTGACATGTGTCTTCATGTGCATTGTAAAACAGGTGAACTTTGAATTATTTTCATAACTTCTTTCCTCAGAAAATTAAAACTTGTATTTATTGGACTTTAAAGCTAAACTTTATATAACTTTATAAACTTTATGTAACTTTTTTATACTTTCTCTTTCCATTATGAGAACTAGCCATGTAATTCAGACTTAGAACTCAATGTGCAGCTCAGGCTAGCCTGGGACTGGCTATGGTAGCGCAGGCTGGTCTCAATGTATCTCCATCTTGAATCTGGGATTATAAGCATGCACCAGTATAACTGGCTTTGAATTTACTTCTTAGATTAGATTATTCCCCACTCTTTATAAAGTTAATCCGCGCTAGATCAAAGAGTTAAACAATATATGCATTCAAATACACATATGTGTAGGTATTTTGAGGAAACAGTATGGGTGTGTCCGTGACCCTGGGATGGGAAGACCTTCTAAGCACATCTCAAACCCAGAAGCCAGAAGAGAAGGTGAGCAGCACCACCACAATACACAGCAAACTGGCCAACATATCTTAGCATGTTGTGGGCAGAGGAACAGTTTATTATGTAGCAAAGGTGCTTGCAAAGCAATAGGTAAAAGACTAGGGAAATCCAGAGACTTAGCCAAGGAGACATGCAGTGCTGTTGCCACAGATTGGACTGGAAGGTGCTTTAAAGAAGTGTCACACCTAGTGAGGATATTGGAAAGGTGTGTGTTCCTATTCGGAGTTCATTTTCTCAGTGAACATGGAGAACTGCCATGTTCTGGTCACGACCTAGGCACCAGAGGTACACAGCATTGAACAACCTGTCTGCTTTAAGGGTCATATGATCTAGTTGGGAGCTGATAGTAATTCAGTGTGTCTTAAGAGAAATTAAATCAAGCAGGAAAAAGTAGGGTAACAGTGATAAGAAGAGATGCTCTACAAAGCACGACTGAGGAATACCTCCTAGGGAGGTGATATTTGAGCAGAGACCAACTTTCAAGAAGTACAGCAGAGGGAACAAGCTGTGTTACCTCAGGGAATCATTCATGACAGAGAGACCAAGCAGAAAAGCAGATTCAAGAATAGCCAGCTACTGGCAGTGTCTGGAGTGGAGGGTGGGAGGAGAGTACAGTAGATGGGACAGGAGAGGTGGGCACATCACTCAAAGCCATGGTAATGATTGGGCTTTTTATTTCAAATTTGTCACAGGAAGCTTTGGGGAGAGTGCCAGAGCCCACCGTCAGAGTCAAAACAGTTCCCAAGTGGGGAGTGAGGGTTGAAAGAAAATGAAAAATAACACATTACACGCAAGATCAGTTCGAGAGGGCTGCCAGGAGAAACTGTTGCACATGGTTTATTCCACAATTCCTTTTTATAGTCAGGGCAAAGCACCTCCATACAATGAAGGGGTTCATCAAGAAGTCAAACTTGTTTACCTCAACCACTTGTCTGTGTGACCCTCACACAAACAAAAGGAAGAGGATCTGGCAAAACACCCTGCCTATCCCTGTCTTCAGGTGAAGGCCAGGGCGAAAACATGTTTTTTTGCTGAGAGTGCTCCACAGGAAAGTATAAGGAAAAGCCTGAGGAAATGCTTTTTTATGTTTGCTGAGTTTCAGGTTTTGTCTTAGAAATCAGAAATTAATCTTGTCCTTTTTAAAGAAATGCTTTTTTGGCATCTCTGAGGTGATCCCATGGTCTCATATTACTAAGTTTATTTATTTTATTTATTTATTTTTTTGAGACAAGGTTTCTCTGTATAGCCTTGGCTGTCCTGGACTAGCTTTGTAGACCAGGCTGGCCTAGAACTCAGAGAGACCCACCTGCCTCTGCCTCCTGAGTGCAGAGGCACACATAGGGCTTTGTTTTAGTCAGTTAATGTAGTAGTTTACAGTGACTAAATTTCAAGGGTTGAACCAACCTTGCATTCCTAGGATACCCCTTACCTGGCCCTGATCCGCTATCTATTTTGTATATTAAGTTTGATTTTTGGAAAAAAAAATGGTTATTTTTTTAAATTTGTTTGAAACATTTTGATATGTAGCCTAGGACTACCCTAGGCAAGCTGGGATTAGAGACATATCTGATATGCTAAAATTTTGTTAATAAATCTGTTCTCTGTCTTCTGAGGGACATTCTGGAGTTTTCTTTTGTGTGTTCTTGGATTTCTTGAGATCTTATCATGTTTCCCATCACTCATGAGCAAAGAGTTCAGATTCCATTGGTTGGACTGTGGCAGTTCTGTTATGACCTAATCAATAGAAGTTAGATCCAAAATGGCCATGTGGCACAAACAGTGGAAGCACTGGCCCTTGTCACCTGACAGTCAAGTGCACTGACCCTTGGGCATAGGAACTCAGGGTCTGGAGCAGCTCGTGGCTGACCCAAAACCTGAGGAACTCAGCCTCAGAAATGTAAAGGCTTCGGAAGCTGATGCAACCTGCTATGCAGCAAAGACCCCAACTCTCCTGCACTTTAATCTCACCAATGAATTCTGACCTGGTGGCCATTTCAGTACACAAACACAACCGTGCCCACTGGGACAACTCGGATACTTCCTCTGCAGGAGCCACACACTGCCGCTGAAGTCCTCACACAGCCCAGTCTCTCCTAATGCACTCAAGGCACTGTCAGTGGGTGTTCAGTTGTTTGCTGCCCTTGTGGAGTGCCAGGTTGACCTGCAGACACCAATGGCCAAGAAGACTCAGCAAATGAAGCCTGTGTCTGGGCTCATTGGCCTTTTGCTCTTCTGGGGCAAGTGTTTCCTTCCGGAACAATCAGTGCATGCCTTATGAATCTCCGCAGGGAACTGGGTGGCTCTCAGTACTCCCAAGGGACTTTTAAAGCCAAACTACCACTCAGATATAATGACCTTTGTCACCACTGTTGTTCACATTAGTTGCATGAAGTGACTGAATATTACCTAAAGTAGAAAAGATAGCTTCTTAATTTAAAAATTCCCAGGATTGGACTGAGAATATGGCTTGGTGGGGGGCATGCCTGCCGCTCAAACATGAAGATTTGAGTTCAGATCCCGGGGACCCAGGTAAGAGGATGGAAGATGTGCTTAGTTTTTTGCTTGTTTTTTGTCGATATTCACACCAGAAGAAAAATCTTTCTGTAAAGGCCCCCATCTGTTGGAGCACTCTGTCCTCTCCCACCATGCTCAGTGCTTCTTTGGTGGCTTAGTTTTAATGTCCCCTGTTCTTTAGCCCACCTCCTGCAAATGCCTACTGAAGACCAGCAGTCTATGTCTCCTGGTGAAGAAAGGCCTAAGCTCCAGGGCAGCTGTTAGACCGTAAAAATAAAGGCAGCAAGACCTTTTAAAATCTTCAAAGCCTAGGCCTTAGCTGGGCAGACTCTCGAATAGCTCATCTAAGTTAACCTCTCCACCTTGCCTCATCCAGCCATGTGGCCAGCTATCCTCCCAGGCCCATAATCACATCTCTCTCCCTCAGTGTCTCCTGGCAAAATGGCCTTCTTTCCTCTTCCCGGAGTTCCTTTCTCCCTACCAGGAAGTCCCACCTTCCACTTACTGCCCAGCTAATTAGCCAATCAGATTTTTATTGACAGCTGCTACATTTATACAACACACAAGATATTCCTCTATAATTCCCTCTTTTAGTGCAATAAAAGGCTAAATATTATAACATATAATTATATATAATATATATAATAAACCACATACAATAAGAACAATTATGAAACAATCAGGAAAACAATATATAAAAGTTACATTCACAATGTTTAGCATATTTGTATTTGGCAACCTTGTAGAAAACATCATTTATCCTGTCTTAGTGAGTCTAGTTCTGAACCTAAATCAGTATAACTATCTAGTCTTCTATTCCATCAGAGACTTGAAAAGGAATAAAATTATCTGTAGGATGTGCAGGCAAGTAGTTTCCAAAATAAATAAAAATGACAGAGACAGTTTCGCTGCCTGTACAGTCACCCAATATCTCTCTATAATATTGGAGCATAATTTTCAGCCTTTTGGCCAGCATATCTGACAGACTTGTGAAGTAGAAACTATGAAGGACTTGCTTACCCTGTCTTGGCAGAGCTTGGTAGCCAACTTCCCAACATTCAAGTTTTGCCCATATTGGGCAGCATTCTGGCTGCACTTGAGTAGGGGCATTTCTTTGCCCGGTGGCTTTGCCACATTTGAAGCCATCATCTCCCAATGAAGAGTATTCAGTGCCATCATCTTCATTGAGGTAGGCTGGGGGTGCTGCCAGGAGCTGAAATGTCTCATTGTCAAAGAATCCTGAAAATAACAAAAATATCTCTACATGCCATACTCTGTAGGTCTCAGGTTTTTGAAGACCATCTACCTATCTATATTTGCATAGTGTTTAATTATTATTATCCATCTATAGTAAATCTAAATAGGCAAAAATTGTTTCTAGTTATTTACTATCTGTTAAATGTAAGATGTATACTTCTGTGATAATCTAGTAACTGACGAGACTGTAAGTTTGATTGACTATTAACTTACAATATTTAATTATCCTAAACAGTTTGTAATAGCAGTCTTGGGGATTTTCTTTGTTTTGTTTTTGTTATTGTTGTCTGGTTGGTTGGTTTTTTGATTTTCAAGACAGGGTTTCTGTGTTTAGCCTTTGCTGTCCTGGACTCACTTTGTAGACCAGGCTGGCCTTGAACTCATAGAGCTCCCCCTCCTCTTGCTTCCCTAAGTACTGGGATTAAAGTTGTACACCATCACTCCTGGTGTGTATTTTTAAAAGGATTATAAGTAAACCCTTCATGTATGAAATGAGTTACAAAAGGTCCAATACCGTATATAAGAGTAGGAACATCTAAACATATGTGTATCAAAACATCCTAAAATTTGTATCAATATATAATAATTTATACCAATGTGTCAAAATATTTGAGAATAACAAAGTTCAATAATTAAAGAACAGATTCAATAATCTGTCTTTTTCTCCCATTATTCCTATATGATTATATCTATATTCCCCCTTTTTCTTCTCAACCCACTTCTCTTTACCTAAGAAGGATAGAGAAAAGGAAAGACACAAATCCCTGAGTCTAAGTTCTTAATCCTTGTTTTTTTTTTTCCCTGATCAAAACTATTTAATAACCTGTGACTAACTCCCCTAAATGATGGCAAACATCCATAGCCCAACAGAATATCCAAATCCACCCCCCCCCAACCTAAGGGAATGGGCCATTGTTCTTCTTTGAGATTACTTCCTGCACATCTGGAGCATAGAATACATTTTGGGGGGCCAGAGAGAAATTGGGGAAAAAATAGTTAAGTAAGCTGGCAGTAATGTTCATCATCCAGTCTAAATGCTGATAAAATGTTGGCTTAAAGTCCTGTTGGGAACAGTCTGCGATTCTGACCCAGTTGGGATCAGCAGCTTTCTTTGAAGCTGTCCTGAAAGCAAGCTTTAAGGGCACAGTTGAAGCAGTCTGAGGCAGGACAATTTAGGATGCTGGAATATCTTGAGTCAGCATCTCAGCATCGTCCAGGATGCATTCTGTCAGGTCCGATCCAACATTACCAGTGTTTTTTTTTTTTTTTTTTTTTCCTGAAAACATGTAACTTCTCATAGGTAATACACGGTTGTAAAATAATAAATACATGAGATGTGCAAGAGGCACAGATAAATTAAGGATTTTTTTTTGTCTTTGTATGAGCATAAGAAAGACATCTGTCTTTCTTAAGCCAGTCTGGATTGTACACCAAATTGTAATACTAATTAATTTTATCTATGCCATATAAAAGAATGATCTTGAGGATTTTGTAATCAAGAATATTTATTGACTATGCATAGATCTGGCTGGGGACATTTAAATGTCCAGTCAGTCTCAGAGCTGTTCCCATGGGAGGGATCAGCAAATTATGTTACCTCTCCTGTTTGGTCTTCTTGATTCCTTTCTTCTTGTGTGTGGCCAAGATCTTCAGGGGTTCTCTTCTGTCAAATATGATCCTTATTACTTTGGGTAGAATCCAAAGCCCTTTTCTTTTTTTTCTTGTTATCATAAACAAAGCCTCTCTCCCAAAATGACATAGCCTCTGTCCTCCAGCTTGAAGGCATAAATATATACTGATTTAATTCAGCAGTCCCATTCTCATTCAGGTCTGCTTTATTTTGTCCTCTCTCAAAGAGGATGTATAATACCACCATTACCATTGAACATATAACCATTGTCATGTTAATAAATCAAAACAGAACTGTATGGAATCTAAATATCCTCCTTTATAGAGATATATATTTATTAATTTTATTGAGACAGGGTTTCTCTGTGTAGCCTGACTGTCCGGATTGGCTCAGTAGATTAGGCTGGCCTTGAACTCACAAGGAACCTATCTGTCTTTGTCTCCTAAGTATTTGGATCAAAGGCATGTGTTTATTTACATTTTTTCTTTTCCTACTTTCCTTGGAGTTTTAATTTCTATGTGCATATATCTATTTTTATTGAGACAGGGCTTCTCTGCGTGGTCTGGCTGTCTTGAATTTACTCTGTAGTAAACCTTTACTCTGTAGTGGCCTTGAACTCACAGGGAATCTATCTGTCCTTGTCTTTGTCTCAGTATTGGGATCAAAGGCATGTATTTGGTTACTTTTTAAATTGGATATACTTATCCTTCCATATTTCTTTTTTAGTTTTACATTCTTCTCTGTATTCAACTTTATTTAAGCTCCTTTCTATCCTAGTGCTCAAGCAAAGTTTTAAGTATATTGTGCCTATTTGGAGGTTTGGATCTTGGTTTCTACTTTCAATGCTTGGGCTATCTTTACCCTGCCCCTTCTTCCGCACAGAATGGGCAGTTCCGCCTTTAAAGATAGGAACTGTAGCTTTTGTGTTTGGGGACCTATCTTAGGCTGGCATGTATTTTCCCACCTGTGTTGCCTTTGTGCCCCTCCATGCCAGGAAGAACTGCCACCTGTGTCCCACGAGACCCTCACATGTATGGGGGCTGGCCGGCTGCCCAAAGGAGCGTGGCATCCAAAGCTCATGGTTAGCTTCAATAACTCTTGGCTGTGGGAGGCATATAGCTTGCATGTTTGTCTCCCAGCCTAACTCTGGGTCCTTGACTAACAGAATTTTTTTCCTAGGGGAAAAATGCCTTTTGGCACCCA